TCACTCAGAATTTCAATGGTATTCCTGGAGATGTTAGTGTTGATTCTTTTTTTTTTTTTTTTTTTTTTTTTTGGTTTTTCGAGACAGGGTTTCTCTGTGTAGCTTTGCGCCTTTCCTGGAACTCGCTTTGGAGACCAGGCTGGCCTCGAACTCACAGAGATCCGCCTGCCTCTGCCTCCCGAGTGCTGGGATTAAAGGCGTGCGCCACCACCGCCCGGCTAGTGTTGATTCTTAAAGCTGGAAAAAAGAGAGGTCTTCTCAGGCCCCAGACCAGTGTTCTGGGCTGGTACAGAGACCTCACATAGTGTAATAATACCAGTTCAGGTGTCAGCCAGTACATTATTGGCCAACAGGATGTCTCTAATCTTGGATATGAGACAACAGGTCCTCCAGAGCTGGATTGTTATACATATACCCCAGAATGGCCTTACACATCATTGTATTCTCAGTTATCAGCACCATAGCCTTCCAAAAGTTGGATGATCTTAAGGAAGTAGTTGGACTTCCAGGTTGCCTTGTTGTCCCTGGGCATCATGGATTGCAATGCAAGGTTTAAAGACCATGTCACTGTAATGAGGATCCTGGCAAGAGCTGATAAACATTCTTCAATAGGCAATCAGGATAAAGGTAGTCCAGAAGTGAATGAGTAAGCAGCCTGGCCTCAAACTGCTGATGTCTTTAATTGCTACATTTCACCATTCCTTTGACTGATAGCATAATATCTTAGAATATAAAAAAATGTTAAATCCATAGTATTCATTGTGGGTTACCATATATAGAAAGGGGAAATAGATTAAGTTTATCAGATTTAGAAAAAAATCACTTTCAGGGCTGGAGCAGTAGTGTGAAAATTACTCAAGGCAACCCCAAGCGAGCATTTTAGATATGCTTTTTGACTCCGGCTACATTGAGTGTAAGACTGGGCACTATTAATGTTAGACAGGGGCAGTAGGTGTGAGCTGAGATGGTGTCAGGCAGGAGGACAGTGTTCCACACAAGGTGCAAACACAGGCAGATACCAACTTGAGTTTCCTGCTATGAGTCAGGTCAATGGGCAGAGAGATAAGGGAATGAAATCAGCCACTGTGGGGATGATCTTGTGACTCATCTCTATAGCCCTTGGTGGGCATCTGTGATAGATAGGCTCAGGGTAGGAGGCCAGTTGTTAAGTGATATACCAAAAATAGCTGCTCCATCTACAAAAGGGACCTTTGGCTTGACACTCTGCACATCAGTTAGTTACTGTTGCTTAGAGCTAACAACACAGAATAACACAACAACCCTCTCACTGTACAGTGAGGAGTCCCAGGATGTGCCCATGCTTGGAGTGGGCATTTGGCAAATCTGGAAGTTAATAAGTAAGCCTGCACTGCTTTGATTCTTAAATCTTCATATCCTGCACATTATGTTCCATGTGCATTTATAGTTACTGATTAACTGCTTTATGTCACAGCAATGGGCATTATTAAACTACCAAATTAATTTGAATAAAAATATTTTTGTGCTTCTATTACTAGATATCATAAAAACTACTTTTGTATAAAGTCTCAAACACAGTCAGCATTCAGTGATGTATTTCAATTTATACTCATCTGTGTTTTAGATCTATATTATATAGTTGAGGACAAGGATAATTTTCTATAAATTTACTTTACATGGGAGACAACTTGGACAAAATATGCAAGTAAATGATTTTATGTGACTGTTCAATGTTAATTCTTAGAAGATTCATATGTGGGGGTATGGGGGGTTTGAATATGTGGATTTCCAGTACAGAAAAAAATTGAAACAAGTAATTTAGAATCCATCCTAGTGTAAGTGAAGTAATATCCTTTCTGTATATGATCCAATCAGGTAAAGGATTGAACCATTCATTTTTATATTTCTCATTGTTTTAGTTGTAGAAATATTGTTTCAGGGGTTCTTCATAATCATGAATTCTTGTGAAAGTAAGTACGCTGGAAATTCTGGAAGGAAATCTTTTTCATCATTTGATTGTTTTTCATGGTATTCTTGATAGTGAATTTCAGAGAGAAGCATGTAAATTAATTTGAATGACAATATTCAGATCACTTGTACCATTTACTACTTTAGGTGCAAATGAAGATATGTATAAGACCCACAACTGGACAAAGTATAGAGAGTGAAACACTTTGGAGTGCTCATCCCTGGATGGAGTATCTTTATCACACCCCTCCCTTCAAAGATCAGGAGTGTGAGGGCACACTAAAAGATTGTAAAAGCCAGATGTGTGGGTGATTTTAAGGTAACATTTCCAGACACAACAGGGCAAATGAGCATATGAACTCAGAGACTGTGAGAGCATGTACAGGGCAAGAAAAATGTCAGACAGACAGACAAACATTTCAGCATGAAGAAGAAAAAGTGGGCACATAGTCCAACTCCTGCCAAGAAGATATTTGCAATTGATAGCTGCTGGAAAAGGGGACAACAGTTTTCTTCAGTGGCTTCTCACTGGGTATATCAGCCACACTCCAGGGCAGGAGTAAATGGCCATCACAGGAGTAAATGGCCATCACAGTAATAAATGGCCAACACAAATTAGATTCCACATTTTAATGGCTCTTTTCTTGTGTTTGTTTGTAAGAAAGAAAGAATATTAGTTGGATGGAGAGGATGTGGGGTAATTTGGAGGAAAGGAAACAATATGATTAAAATATACTGTATGAAATTCCCAAAAAAATAGATTAACACAGTAAAGACTTTTTAAAGGTATTTAAGGAGAAGGTAAACAAGACATAGCAATTTTATATTTTTAGATGTCTTTTAACTAATGAATAAAAAATCTACACTGTATAATTCTTAAATCACTTTAGCTTCTACTAAGTTCTAGTCTATAACAGATTAAGAAATAGTTAAAGAAGACAATTGGGAAGATTGGGGTAAGAAAATATTCATTGTGATTTAAATTAGGAAGTTCTTAGTGTTTCAACAAAAACATAGTGAAGGGCAGAAAAGGCTTACCCACTTTACCCAGCAGCCAAATTTCAGATGAATTACATGCCAGCATAAATATGATATGCTTTGAAATTGTTTCTTTTTTAAAAAGTTATCTAAATTACAGGTATCTTAGAAAGCTTTATCCCACTCAAGAGTTTGTTTATTAATAAAAATCTTTCCATTTAAACTAACGAAAAATGAAAGCAAAAGGTCACTTCATTGCATGGTAGGGATTTTCAAAATATAAATTACACTTATTTATTGGGGTGGGGTGGCAGACCCTTTCCACAGCGCACGTGTGCAGGTCGAAATACAGCTGGAAGGAGTCAGGCCTAAGTCCTGAGGATAGAACTGAGGTCACCTGTCGTGGCGGCAGCTGCCTTTACCTCTGAGCCATCAATACTAGCCCTGATAAGGTTTGTTTGGCGATCTGTTTGCATTTGTTAGCATGCATTTAAAAGGCTGAGCTGTTTAAAAATACTCCATCAGCTGACAATTTAGGTATGATTTCTTTTCCCTGATACAACTATTGGACTATTTAGACATTTTTATTTTTTGTAATAATGATATCAAACTATCTTATAAAATAAAATTTAAGCCAATCTAGGAGTAATTAATATTATTAATGACACTGAGTGCTAAGATGCTATCTAGCAAGCAGATTGTTTTCCCTTTTGTCTTCTTTTTTTTAATGGGGCATAGAGTTCGAGACAGGATTTCTCTCTGCAGCCCTGGCTGTCCTGGAACTCCTCTGTAGACCAGGATGGCCTCGAACTCAAGGAGATCCACTTGCTTTAAAGGCATGTACCACTACTGCCTGCTCAGCAAGCATATTTAAATTTGAATGGGTTTTAAAATTTTTTCTTAAAGGATGAAAATTTTGCCTAATTAAGTTTTAGAACTATTCTGAAAACAGAGAAAATCTTTCTGTGGTCCATTACAACCGGAAGAACAGTGTTGTGGGGTGGAGGCCAGAACCGAAGCTTTGCCTTGCGAATGCCAGGTCTGAGCTGGATTCCTGAACATTGATGGCGTTTTGCAGATTGAAAAGTCCTGTCGTACACGTTGTCTCTTGTTCCTGCTGTCTTTGCAAATTTAATCCTCACTTTCAGCTTTCTCTGAGATGCTTTTACTAGTGACTTGGAACCTGTCTATGATACTGTTGCTATTCCCTTTGCAAAAACAGGAAGTAACAGCTGAGTCCTGCTTCTGTAATACCGCCTACTTTGTTCAGTTCTGCTCTTAAACCACTTTTGTTTCTTCTAAATCATGTGATTGGTCCTTTTGTGCTTCAGAAGTTTCCTGAAGACTCCCCCCAACCCCCCCCCTGCCCCCAACTAACTGTGCTGTGAACAGCTTACTGAAGAGTGGAGTGTGGATATGTGCTTCTTTGGCAAACATTAGTCTGGAATCTTCTCCAGTGACAAAGAATCAAAGGGTACTGTGGTCATTTTCATTTGTCTTTGCTGTTGTGTTAAATGGTGTTTGATTTACGTTTTAGCTTTTCTAACTACAAGGAGTGTTCAAAAGGTAAGGCCGAGCAACCAATGAATAACACTGTTTCAGCCCAACGTAATTGTAATAGACATTCATGCCATGAGAAGCTAAAACAAGAACATAGCTAAGTTCAAGCTAAGAATTTGCTTGTGATCTCCTGATATCTCAACACAGTGATGTTTCTTTGTCAGCTCATTAGACACACCGAGTCGCAACAGAGCTAAAACAGACAAGTCTCGAATCCTTGTTGATTCCCAAGTTCTGTTGTTTTTGTTTTGTTTTTTTTTTTTCTCCTCAGTGTTTATTGGGATTTAGCCAAATGTAACTAAAGAAATTGGAGCCCAACTGGAAAAGTGTGTTGAGTGTCATGGTGTCTAAGTCCTTCAGAAATGGAAGGAGAGATGATACCCGTGCAGGAATATTACAGTTTGGTCATAAATTATTCAAACTGTAACTTATTAAGAGGCAGACATCAACAACTAAGGGGACATTCATAGGATCTGGATGTGCCACCATTCCAAGTGACCACAACAATCCAACAATTTCAATTTCTGGGCTTTTATTTTATACTTAAATTTTAAGCATATTTAATTTGCTATCACCACATGAATTTCATAATTTCCTCAAACTGTAATTATAATCTTAATACAACCAAGCAAATTAAGAAAAAAATCTCCCCCATAGAAACATAATTTTTGAATGGAACTAAGAATATCGGAGTTTATATGCAAAAAGAAAACCTATCTTATATATGGATTCTTAAACCACAGCTATTATATATACATTTTCATGGAACATTCCCAAACCATCAATATTTCCATAAAGGCACCCGCTATTCTAAGTGCAGTTTGTTCTTAAACTATACTTTTCCATAAACTGCTTTTTTTTTTTTTTAAATAAAGTGTCTAAGTCAGTCTCACTTTAAGAAAAAATCAGGGCCTAAAAATACTAGCTGAGTCCTCACTGAATTTGATCAGCTTTCCAAAGAACCCAGGTAGCAGCCGCCATGTCTCTGTTTTGCTAGGGCAGTACCTGCCTGACTCTTTAAGATCAAATGGGACACAAACACCTCTATGAAACTTAGCTTCTACACAATTCTTGTTGCAATTGTCCAGCATACATTTGTGCTGTTAATAAGTTGATTCTTTCCCTTATTTTGCCAACTTTTAATCTTTCTTCTCCATACCAAACTGCCTGAAAATAGCCTATTTGTTTCTGACTTAAAAAATTGTTAGGCAATTCAACTGATTTTTTTCCATGACGTTTTATCCTACAACCTGGGAAGTGCTGCATGATCAAAAACATGATTCATTTTAGAACGCTGTAATCTAGTCCAAATACTGTGACATCGGGCAAGAAATGTCCTTCATTGTCATATAAAGAGAAGCGGACTCAGTTTTTACAATTGTTCCTTTAATTAATAAGAGACATTTTGTTTATCGTTCTTATTGAACAAGCAGTTATCATTTGCAGATGTGAAAATCATAAGGAATCAACTCATTACTGATACTAAAAAATTCTTTTTGAAAACATAATATGGCATGAGCAGATGTAACTGTGCTACTGCCATTATTATCGTTATTATCACAGCTTAGTTATTTTTCCTATCATAGTGTGCTTGACCAGGATAGGAGGGATCTTTAATTCTTATAAAGGCTTGATGTATAACCCAGAAAATTTACTAGAACAGGTGAATTTTTAACCCAGAGATTTTTTTCAAAAGTATTTATGCAAAATAAGGGGAGATAATCTGAATGGTAAATGACAAAAATGAGTCATACTAATCCTATCTACGTCAATAGAACTTCTTGTTCATGAATAAATCAATTAGGAATTTGCTCCCTGGGGTCTTTATCTGTGTGGGAAGCTGAACAAAGTTGAATAAACAGCCTTCACCAGCATTGCCCCATAACCACATTATAATCCCAGAAACCTATGAAGTGTTTATCTGTCAAAAGGGACATGACATGTGATTGAGGAGCCTAAGAGGGCCAGATCAACCTGGATTTTCTAGGTAAACCCTAAAGACAATCACAAGTGTCCTTGAAGGAAGTCAGGAGATGTGACAACAGAGAGGAAGGGATGTGACCCTGGAGGCAACATTGAAACATTATAACTAGTAGTCAAGAAATGCTGGCGGCCCGAAAACTGAAAAAAAAAAAAAAAATGCCCCTTTAGAGCCTCCAAAAGGAAGTGGCTTTGCCAACATCTTGGTTTTAGTCCTTTAAGGCTGACTTTGAAATTTTGACCTCTGTGGAACCCGCATGGGACCGAACTAGACCCTCTGCAAATGGTAGATAGTTGTGTAGCTGATTCTGTTTGAGGGGACCCTAGCAGAGGGGTCAGGATCTATCCCTGGTGCATGAGCTGGCTTTCTGGATCCCATTATCTATGGTCGGACTCCTTGCTCACTCTTCATGCAGGGGAGAGGAGCTTGGCCCTGCCTCAACTGAATGTACCAGGCTTTGCTGTCCCCTCATGGGAGGGGATGGAGGCGGTCGGGGGCAGGGGGGGTGGGGTGGGGGGCAGGGGGGGTGGGGAGAGGTGGGAGAGGGAGGAGAGGGGTGGTATGTAAAATGAATTTAAAAATTTTTTAAATAGAAAAATAAAAAAAAGAAAAGAAAAAAAAGAAAGTTTAACCTTCAGAACTGTAAGAAGATAAATTTGTGTTGATACTAAAGTAAGTCACTTGTTACAACATCTACAGGTAGCAAGGTTTCTGTGATCTGAAGAAATACTACACACTCTCAGGTTTGTAGAGTTTCATTTTGAAACAACCCTAATAAAATATTTTCTCACTGATTATTTGGAAGATAATATTTTTCATTTTAAGAGATTGTTGGATATGTGCACATCTTCAATGAGAGACATCAAACATTAGTGGATATATCTTTTCATTTCTTTTACCAAGTTGAAGACAAACATTACTTTACTAATTTGTATGTTTGATAGCCAATGCTGTTGAAATTACAAAATGCAAGAATCTTGAGAAATCAGCTGCTATATTTATTAATCTACCTGAAAGAAAAAGAAACAGAAAAAAATCAAATTTTTTTTTCATTTTGCTAAAGTTATGATGCTCTATTTTGAATTTTTCCATATTAGGAATAAACTTAATGTTTGCTGATGACTTATTTAGTTCATTAAGTCACTACCTATGACAACAGAACTTGTAGTTGTCCTTAGATATGAGAATTAATACCTTCATTTTTGTGATCCTTTAAAACAGCTCAGGGTCCAGTTCATCCTCCCTGACTGACTAGAACAAGAATATTAAAAAGGAAAAAAAAGAACAATAGAAAAAGAAAAGACTCCTCAATACGATTTACATTTAAAGATGTACTCAGAATTTCCTTCTGTTTTACCAAATAGCCCAATCATACATCTCAGTTGTCTGTCCAGGAAATATTTCACTGGTTATTTAGAAAGTCGGTTTTTATTCTAAGTGCTGTAAAGAGCTACATGGTCACGGTGGGTGTCCTGATTGTTAAGGCATATATCAGCCTGTGAAAGGCCAAGGGACACACACGCAGCACAGTCAGTGAAATCATTTATAGACATACCTAGGCATCAAAACGTTTCTGGAGGATGTAGCTAGTACTGGCTTGGGCGTGCGGAGAGTGAAGGAAGGAACTGTGGATTTAGAGAAACAACTGTGATCTGCTGAGCCTGGGAAAATGAGTACCGAGGGCTTATCTCCACAAGGTCTTTCTCCTGCTCAGAAATGCTTTCCTATGTTTATTTGGGCTTTGTGTTTAAGGATTTTCTAAAAAATAAATATTTTCGTACAGATTCTTTACAAAGTTGTTCTCCAGAATAGTAACAGATTGAACACAATTCATTTCCTTTGCTTGGATCTTGAAAGCTGCTACTCAGGGTTATTAAGACACCATTTCCTTATGGTTTTCAGAGTGAATGGAACAACGTGGCATACTTTCAATGCTGTTGTTTTTAAATGTAAAACAAAACAAAAACAACGGCAAAACTTTGAAACTTGAGATCTTTGAATCTTCTTTCATACAATCTGATCACATTTACAGACGTGTCCAGGAGGAGATGATGGACAACATCAGTACCAACTCTGTGTCACACAACAACTTCCTCGTATTCTTTAACAGCTCATAAACAATGTTCCATTTCACCAAAAGTTACAAAAGTTTCCACAATTTCCCTTAGCAAGCTGAAGCTCACTCTTCATTTGTCAATGTGCATAAAAGCTGCTTATAGCATAGCATGGTGTAAGCTATTTCTTAAGCAATAAATGATTTGAGTCATCTATTTTGTCCTGAAATGCTATCTGTAGTTAACTGCATTGCTTATAAATGGCCATAGTAAATTCAGCATGAAAGAGAATATTACAGAAAAGACAGCAGCAGAAGCATTAGCATTATCTAATATTTATATATGTTATCAACAGAACACAGCAGTGAAACATTTAAATGCATATCAATGGGTACCATGTCTAAAAATTACTATAGTACCTATTTAGTGTAGTGGATATTTTTCTTAAAGAGTGCTTGCTGTAACTAGAACAGCATAATATGTGGTTTAGTACAGTTAATTCTTATTGATTAAATAATGTATTTATGTACTGAAGATAGTGAAAGGAGACAGGTAATTTTTTTCTTTTTTTGCTTCATTGTGATCCCAGATTTAACACTTACGTGAAGATTACAAAGGATCATGACATGTCATTAGTTAACTGAAATGGGCATCAACATATTGAAAAGACAGTCTTTGTACTGAAACAGCAAGATGGCACCAGATACATGTAATGCTACTGGCCTATGACTCAACGGGAGCCAGAGTCCAAAATTGTGCCCTTCATGTACACTCAAGGCAACTACTCAAATTCAGAGAGAACTGCCCACATTTATGCTTATCTCTTACAAGTCCTCTGTAAAGCAAAATGGAACAGAAAGAACAACAAATGCAATTGCTAAATACCTTTTTTTTTTACAAGAGGTGCAAAAACAGTCATTTCTAACATTAAACTGCCATTTACAGTAGATTTTTGTACACCTGCAAAGACTTCAGTAATGATGGGGAAATGCCCAAGGCAAATAGTCTCCAAGTAGATATTTACACAATGTGAAATCAAATGTGCCGTAGATACCGAGAAAATTATCTTATGTTATTATGAAATCGACCAAACATGATATAGCTTCATCATACAGAAAACCCGTAGGACCCCATCCCAAGCCTAAGTAAAAAGAATCCCCCAGTTCCCTCTGCCCACTCGCCCACCATCTTCCTGTTACAAAGAATCAATGTCTAGATTACTCCCACCCACCCTCAGATAAAGTGCGCAGTCCATGGCAGACCATAGAATAATGCAACAGGAAAAGCCCCCGTTTGTATTATTATTTAAAAAATAAAATACAAACAACAAAAATAAAACAAAGATTGAAGAGAATTTGTTGATTCTCTCTATCTTGACAAAAAGATGCGAAGCGCGGGGCGCCCTGCTTGAGTGTCACTCATTTTAGTACACGTAGCCTTCGTTGTAGGGGTGGGGGTTGTAGCAACCCCCTTCTGGCATGTAGGCCATGCTCTCATCAAAGTGAGACAGAGGCACCGTGTCCTCCTCGTTGATGTGACGCTCCATGTCCGTCTTCAGCAGTGGGCGCTGGTTATCCGGAAAGGCCATGGAGAAAAGGGCTTCCGGGTCACACACAAATTTGTAGACATATCTCTCTCCTGCCACCTGGGAATATCATGGAAAAGCCCAGTGTCCCCGTCCCCACATGGGTAGGGGAGAGAGAAACAAACACAGATTAATACACCAGCAGGGATGGAGGGCAAAAGAGAACATTTGATTAAATAACAGATACATCTTCATGAGGGAAAGTCTTTACTTTGTGAAATAAGCCACGGTTCAATCAAGGGAAACACAAAATGTTGAACTAGAGTAATGATTAATTTATTTCACAAATAGCTAGGAAACTCAGTAGTTTTCTTTCTTCTTTTTTAACATAAAGGTGTACTAACACTGTCATTTGGGGAAGAAAAATCAACGATGTAATGCAAGCAATTTACACTGAAATTTTTGTTTTAAAGGTAACATCTATGTTTTGAAAATGTCTTTAAGGTTTACCTCCCCCTGTTATATTTCTACAACTTGTAAGTTTTAAAAGGAAAATATGCTTTCTTCCTAATAAGACCAGACTAGTGATCACTAATTCCCAAGATGCACCGCTCCCTCCCCTTCATCTTTCCCCTGGCACTGTGTATTCTCATCTAAGAAAACCCCAAAGATACATAGCCTTATTTAAATGAAGGATGGAACAAGAGGACATTATCCTGAGCACATCACTTTTTAAAATGAAGGCAAGATACATTAGATGAAGCTTAAGGATGTGTGTAAAGTGTCAAATTGAAGTAAGAGGCGTAAAAAAAAAGTGAAAGGAATCTAAAATACACACTGGGAAGGGAGGAAATGAGAAAAGGAAATGTGACAACTGCCTGAAATAAAGGAGATGTGGCACAATTTGTAGGGAAAGACATGCCCCAAACTTAAGTTTTGAAGAGTAATGCTTCTGTAGAAAATGATAAACAATTGAAGGAGACAAATGTACCCGCCATTAATAGACAATCCTGAGGAACTCAAGACTCTGGGGTGCGATGGGGAACAAAGGCAGTTCCTTGTGTTAACTTCGGTGTCGTGTGTGTGTGTGTGTGTGTGTGTGTGTGTGTGTGTGTGTCACAGTTTCAGAAAGCTGAAAAGGATTGAATGTCTCATGTTTCTGTGTCAAAAGGTCTTGCTAGTTGATTTGTGACCTGGGGAAACAGTGTGCTCACAGTTTATAAACTCTCTGTGCATGTTTGGGAGAGAAGGAATGCCTGCCAAGGATTTCTGCTGCTCTGGACTCAGATTTAGAATATTTGTTGCCCTGAATTGAAGTAAAAGGAACCACATTAGAGTCCAAATAATCTGGATATGCAGAGGTTTGAAAGAGCCAACACTGAGCAATGTTTAGGAATCTGGAATGTTTCTTAAACTGCCCTTCAGTTCCTTGTCTTGTGAAATGGAGACAGGAAGGGCTCCTTGGAAAGCCAGCTGTGATACATAGAGGGAAGTCTCTAGTACATTGCAAAGCAAATAGAGGCATCTAGCATAATTCTCTTCCTTTGGTCCTCATTTTTAAAAAAAGTGAACTAATGAAATGACTGCAAAACTGAAAACCAGGCAGTATCAAACAAAAGCTGAGAGATAATAAATCTTAGTTTTGTTTCTTTTTTTCTTTATTTTTCAAGGTATTTTCAGGAAATGAAAGTAAAATAAATGCTTTATTCTGCATGCCTCTGAGTGTTTTATAGCCCACTGTGTTTAGTTTGGGGCTGCAAAAAAGAATTGTTTGCCTTAGGTATTGGACCTGTCATTTTGTCTGATGTGTTGAGGTTGTCTTTACTTGGAAGCGATGTAATAAATGAAAAACATTTCATCATGAGGAATTTAAATGCTCAAGATGCAATTGAAATTATAAAATCTCCTAGGGACTTCTCCGTCTGCTTCCTTCTAGTTTTCTCTAAATAAACAGTTTTAGTGTTACTCCTGTATTTATCCCACTGTTAGATATTGCTGAGTTTAGAATAGGAGCTGACAGACAAACAAAGTAAATGATGCCTTCCTTTGTTGGGGATACATTTCTCATAGTGTGAGAAATCCTGTATATTAGGTAAGACCTAAATGTAACAATGTGATGAAAAAGCACAAGCATTTTGTGGAGGTTTCTATCGGATGTAAACAGGGAGGTGGGTGTGCTGTCAAAGCCTAGACACATATTTAAATTGCAATTCAACTTTTAAAATTTCAAGATTGCTCAGCAGATAAAGGCACTTGACTCCAAGCCTGACAACCTGAGTTCAATCCCTGGGAGCCACATAGTGGGAAGCCAGACCTGATCACTGCAAGTTGTCATCTGACTTGCATACACATACTGAATAAATATAATATTTTTTTCAAAATTTGGAGGAGAGGGAATGGGGGCATATTTGACAAAGATAAAATATATCTGTGTATGAATATTAAGTAAAATAAATAAAATCTCAAATGTAAAAGATAAAGTAAAAAAAAGCAAATATGATACATTTTTGAGTATTGCTAAATTTTTAACTAGATGTGCAGATATTTAATCTACAAAGAATAAGATTTTTCCAATACTTCTTATTTCTATTTCAGAATTATTGAAATTAATTACCATTTAAAATGTTTTACCTGTATTAGCCCATTTGGTTATTTGTATTTTATTCTCTAAGCTTCTAATTTAATTGTTCTTTGCATACATCACAAATGCCTAATTAAAGTTTTAAGCCAATGATCAAATATCATCATACAAAATTGGAATGTAATTCCCCATTATATAGCTTTTATGTAGTAAGAAGGGGAGGTAGTAAGATATAGAGGTCTTCTGAATAAACTATGCTACAATTTACTTAACCATTAGAAGGGTCCACACAGTAATAGATACAATGAAAAAGGCAGAACATTCTAGAAAGAACTCCCACAAGAGTCATGAGTGGTCTTAGAACAGAAGGGAAATGATTATACATATGCAAAGGTTAAAGGTACTTGCTAACAGGGTAAGGGATCCTGGTTGGTTACCCATCTACATGCACAGTCCAAGCTCTGCATGCTTACATGATAAACAACCTGCCTTTCTTGTGCAAACAGTGGCATCCAAAAAGTCTGTTCTGTGCTGTATTCACATCAAACTGTAGTGCCTAAGTAAGCAGTAAACCACCCAAGGCTGAAGGAAATAATAACAAATATCCAAATGTTTTATCTTTATATATTCATTTATTCATGGCCCCCTTTATAAATGTTATATTTTAAGTACATTTTATCTTTATCCATGTTTTTGTATTTTACACAGAACAACTTTTAAATATTAAAAGAAGCTCATTTGAATTAAAATATGTTGAACTCTGTTCTATAACCACATAAGATGAAACATTTATTTCAAGTAAGTGGTTTGGGATATTAAACTGTCAAGTGATGAAATCAGGCAAGATATGGAGCGAGAAAAAAGTGTTTTTTTTTTCTAATAAGTACTAGTGATGCCTGACTGTTTTAAGAATCAGAAAAAGAAAAATACAAGCATTTCAAAAACTTGTGACTGTGGAGTGCAGCAAAATTGCAGCTTCTAGAGACATAGAGATCTAGAATTAATACTGAAATAACTTTTGTTTACCATGTGCAGTAAAGTGGAAACGTCCAGAAAGCTTCTCACTTGGTAGATAACATTATACATTTAATGCCAGTGTCCATGACTTTTAAACAAACTTGCGATACTCCAAGCAGGAGCATCGACTAACATGGGTGAAAGCCTGGCTGGATCAAGGCAGTGATAATGTGACTTTAAGGTCTGACTTGGAGACCAGTGGTGGGCACATCACAGTGAGTTCAAATGTAATATCACCTCACCTTTTGCATGATCCCCTTCTCATAGTAATAGCGAAGAGAATGTCTAAGTTTGTCATAGTTCATAGCTGGCCTGTTCTTCTGAATGCCCCAACGCCGGGCCACCTGCCGCCAAAACAGAACCACAGTGTTAGTGTTCAGTCTTCGTCAATCACATTGTTCAGTGTTAGTGGCATGCACACACACACACACACACACACACACACACACACACACACACACACGTTCATCAATGTTTGACTTCTAAACCCACAAAAACATGTCCAAATCCAAGGCATAAGGAAAGCAGCAACAGCCTTCGTGATCTGAGTTTCCTGTGTCCTGGTTTAAATCAGGCTTGCAGTCCTCTTTCTTAAACGTCACAATAGAATCCTTTGTCACCATTGTTTGGGGTAGAAATTAAATGGAAATAAGGGAATGTGTTTACATCAGAAAAGAACAGGCTGCAATTGACCAAAACAAGGCAGAGTTTCCCTTCTGCAATACACCATCAGTTTTTTCCTTCCTGAACTTTCAGACAAAAAATTTCAGCTTAAGAACTGCTTGCTTAATGATCCCTTTGTAAAGGTGTTTTATTGCATTTGTGACAAATCAGAGGAGAAAAAAAAACTGCTCAGATTGTGCAAAAGAAAGAAGAACTGGCAGTGTGTCAGCCTAGGAAACAGTATGCCGATTAAGAAGCTGAACTACAAATAATTGTTACCGAGAGTGGCCTCTGAAGAAAACTAGAGTCAACACCAAACTGGAAAATTAAGCTCATTTAGGAAACATTAATTGGATGCTAAAAATAAGATGGAAGTGGAAAAGTCACCATGTATATGAGGGGTTTGTTGTTTGTTTTTTAAGCAGAATGTCCAGTGTGGTTTAGTAAAGGTCTCAGAAGTATTTAGTATGTGGCCATGGTGGGGCTCTGGGTCTGGCTCAGGCACAGCTCTCCAGCAGAGCTAGGGAAGCACTTCCTCCCACTGTGCCATTCCACCATCACACTGGGCTGATGAAGGCATAGAGAGAGCAAGGACCCTGCTTCTCTGACTCCAGTTGATGTCATGATCTCATTAATCCCCACTCTTTGGGAGGCTGAGGAGAAATCAGGCACTGCCTAAGCAAAGCCAGGAGAGCATTCTCCAACAGAACACAATCCTTTGTTTCCATGAAATTCCTAGTTGTTGTGTCCCATACAAAGAAAGAACACCTCAAACCATCTCTGTTCCTCTCCTCGTCATTAGCATCAACCTTTCTGTTGTTTCCTGCACCCTTCAAAAACATTGATCCTTTCTGTTTTCCTGTCACTAACGTGTATTCTTGGAATGAATACACAATGGTCTTTAATCACACAGGTTGGTATACTGTTTTGAGAGTAAAGTGACATGATGGAGCAGGAACAAGACTATCCATTCGAGATAAAAGTCATAGTGGTGGGGCAGATACATCTTAATTTTCCACGAACTTTACAGTAAATATTCTAAGAACGGTGAATAGAGCAAGGAAAAGTGGCAATACAAAATAAATGCAAGCACCAGGGAGCTGAGTATGAGCCTAGGGTGATGGCAGGGGAATCAAGGGTTCCAGACTACCCTGGGCTACGAAACCCTGAGAAGTCGATGAGAAAGGAAAGGAGGGGAAAACTCAAGGGAAGAGGGTGAGGAAAGAAAGAAGGAAGGAGGGAGGAAGGGAGGAAGGAAGGAAGGAAGGAAGGAAGGAAGGAAGGAAGGAAGGAAGGAAGGAAGGAAGGAAGAACAGGAGGAGTGAGTTTTGGCTTTGGTTTTTAAATAAAATCTTTCAAAAGTGTAGCAGTGATGTCAGTGGCTCAGTAGAGACACAACCCACCATACAACATGCAAATCTTGGGGAATGCGAAAAAAGTTGCTAAGCAACAATTCCCCAAAACATTCATTTACAAATGAGACTTTACTAGAGTTTTAGCAGAGTTCACTTCAAAGCTAAAATGCAACAAACTTTAAGGCACCATATAAGTCTCTGGAGAGAGTCATGTGATAGTTGCAAGCACTGTAAGAGAGAGTTGTAAGATTTTGGTTCCTATAATGCCAACTAATTCTCAGCACTATGAATTATTAGCCCAGGCTTTAAGAAGTATGTACTTTGACTTTTCCTGCATCATAACTGACACAAAGTAAAGGAAAAAAAGACAACAATATGCCTATATGTTGTAGACAAATGGGTCTAAAATAGTAGGAAGGCTAAAGCATTGAGACCACCCAAAAACTTGATCAAGTACACTTGATCCTCATAAACACCACCAATGTCATACATGGTGTCCCTTAAAACTAAGGTATAATTTTCAACATGAAGTCTCAACGGTGAGGCCAACACTTCCAATGACTTTCTCATGAAGTACTTTCAAGTAAGAGCTTACCCTGTTAGGAAAGAGCATCAAGAGTAAAGCAGCATGGCACTCACCCTTGTCAAGTACATGAAGTGAGTCAATGTAGTCATTTAAGTACAACTCCATCCTTTTTATTATATTAGTAAATGTATCTTTTTGGTGTTGGTGTTCGAACTCAGGGCCCTGTGTGTGCCAGCCAAGCACTGTATCAGTAACCTACATCATGGGACAGTGAAACCTAGAATTGGGGTCTGGCAATCTAACTTCCTGGTATTCATCAAGAATGTGGCATGGAATTTGGTAGGTGTCTTTCTATGTTAAGGAATATTTCTAGAAACAATTCCCTAGTACCACTGATTAATTTGGAAATAATATACCATTATCTCAAATATCTGAAAGAGTTTGCTAATGTCATCCAAGCTCACTGAGCAGATAAGCAGAACATATTTGGAAGTTCACTCATTTTATCATTTTAAACTAAGAGATGAAACATGAGAAAATAAAACCTGTGAGAAGTACAATAGGGTGGCTTCCAAGACATCATTCATGGATTGTGGGAGTCAACACTGAAAGATCTGTTATGTAGCAGAGGATAAGAGAGGGGCTGTAGTCCACTCAGAAGAAAATAATTCACAGATCCTTTCCAAAGAAGAAATGGGAAAAGACAACACAGTCATTGTCTGGTGTAAGTGTGAGTTAGGCAGCAATCAAAAAGAGGATACTTCATTCTTCATTTTTTTTTTTTGGTGTGTGTGTGGGGTCAGACACTGATGATAGTGTCTTCCTCAATCACTGTTGACCTCACTTTTGGAGACAGGGTTCTCTCACTAAACCTGGATCATGCTGATTCAGTCTGCCTCTAGAGCATTGGGATTAAAGGTATATCCTGTCACACCTGGCTTTTAGCATGGCTGCTGAGAACAGAAATCAAATCTTCATGCTTGTGCAGAAGCACATTATTTATTGAGCCATCTTCCCACACCCCTTGGAAAGGATGTTGAACAAGAGTTTTGGAGACATGTAGTACCTATTGCACAATTCCCACTGAGCTAGTAACCATTTGGAAACAGTCAACTGACTGAATTACTGGGTCTTGCTTTTGACTTTATGCACCTGTGACAGCAGAGTTGTTGAAATGTCAGCTGTATGAAACAGACCTGATTGCATATCTTTCTCACATTTAAATGATCACAAAAACTCAGAATGATGGCACTAACTGGCCAGCTGGTCAGATCTTCCATTCTTCTATCCAGATTCAAACATCTAAATGCCATGGGTGGTTGTATGCAGAACTTAATCCCTCTTAGAATGTCGGATCTTCTGAGGGGCTCAAATGTTACTGACATCATTCAGTAATGCCTCCTGTCCTAACAAATGTGACAAAAGTAAAATGTTCTGTTTCTGCTCAGTTTATTTTAATCACAGGTGGTGGGAAATGGCTGTTTAACTGACATAAATCCCTGTTGAACTTCCCTAGTCCAAGTCTTGCTTTGATTATTAAAATCTTCCATGAGGGGGAGGACACATTCCCATTATGGTAAAGGCCTCTGAGATTATTTTGCTAGGCATCTTTAGTCTCGGTGGCCTGCACCATATTCTTGTGGTTCTTCTCTTACATCAATTAAGTACATCTACAGAAAACCAAAGATTCTTTACAGCCAAATGGAGCTTTAAATACACTACAAAATTGAAACACCCAAACATTTAGCAGTGGTATTTCCCACTCTTGATTCCTCTGTGTGTGTGGTGTGAAGTCAGGACTCTACTGTAAAACCAGCCCTCTGAACAGATGCAAACTGTTGCAAACTGGGAGAGAATATTGCCTTCAATAGTAAAAACCACGAAATCAATAACTTTACATTGTTTTGACCTACTTTCAAAGTTAAAATATGTCTATACAGTTTTCAAACTTTTTATATACCTTTCTGGCATATTAACCAAGTCTGTTTATATTATAGGAAATTTTGGCTTCCTATTCAGAATCTACTAGACTCACCTCTTCAGGCTCAATCAATTCAAATTCCATGCCTCGTCCAGTCCAGGCAATGAAATGAGAGTTGGAAGGGTCATCCAGAAGAGCTACCAAAAACTGCCAAAGCTGAAGGGATCCTCGCCTCTGGTATGTGGGTCCTTCCCGGTACATTCCTGGCTCTTGCTTAATATCCCCTAAATTAAAAAAAAAATCAACTATTATCAGCAACATTATGTCATTCGTATAAAATTTACACCAAATCTACCATGGAAACAGTTAAACACAATCACTTCATGGATTTTGTAACAATGCTATTAAATACAGATTTAAAATAATCAAATGACTAAATGTAAGCCAACAATCTACAGAAACTTAGAAACTTGCAAACAGGATAACAACATGCATTCTCATTAATATAAATGCACCAGTAAGGAGTTAAGTTCATAAGTACCATTTACTTATAAAAACCTAGTATAATTGTCTGTCTTTCATTCATGTCTTTATAAACCATCAAACCTAATCACACTCCTTTGCTTCGTAACTCCCGTTTGTCTGTCTCGGAAGGTGTAATCAGGTTTAAGTTCTGGGCATTTTATTTGTATAAATTAATTTCTACAAACTGTAATTTGCAAATATCTATTGACCCATACATGACAAACTACTGTAAATCTCAGAGCACATAATTCAAGGTAAATTTGGCAATATCATAAAGTGTGAGTGGCCTGCACTTTCTATAAATTCTGACACTCATGGGTCATCAACAACGTCATCATCCCACCTAAAACGCCTTCCTCCAGAACCCACCGCTTTTCACTGGCCAACAAAGGAAACAACATTCTTGAGGAATCTTACCTGCCTTTCGCTCATTTTTAGTTTCTTGGTCTTTTGTTTTGTTGTGTGTGTGTGTGTGTGTGTTTTTTTTTTTTGAGACAGGGTTTCTCTGTGTAGCCTGGTCCATCCTGGAACTTGCTCTGTAGACCAGGCTAGCCTGGAACTAAAAGATCTTCCTGCCTCTGCTGCCTGAGCCCTGGGATTAAAGGCGGTCTCCACTGCCCAGGTTTGTTGATGTTTCTTTTAAAAGGTCAATTTAAGAATGTATACACAGGGTTGGGGATTTAGCTCAATAGTAGAGCGCTTGCCTAGCAAATGCAAGGCCCTGGGTTCAATCCTCAGCTCCAAAAAAAGAAAAAAAAATGTATACACTTTGCCAGGCGGTGGTGGTGGTGCACGCCTTTAGTCTCAGCACTCAGGAGGCAGAGCCAGGCAGATGTCTGTGAGAGATCCAGGACAGGCACCAAAAACCCTGTCTCAAAAAAAAAAAAAAAGTTTGGCCCAGAGACCTTGGGTAGAACGAAACACTACTGAAAAAAAGGGAGGGAGGGAGAGAGAAATGATTTCTGAGAGAAATGATTTCTAAAGATATAATCTCCAGGACAGAGAACTACACCCATTAGAAGAGGGGGAGGAATAATTGTAGGAGCCAGGGGGTCCTACAGGACACCAGGAGAACACAGTCCACAGAATGAGCTAAGCAGGGCTTATTGGGGCTCACAGAGACTGAAGAGGCAACCATGGGGCCTGTTTGGGCCTGCACTAGGTCCTCTGCATAAATGCTATGGATGTTTAGCTTTTGTTGGACTCCTAACAGTGGGAGTCGGGTTGTCTCTGACTCTTTTGCCCGCTCCTGGAACGAACCCTTTTCCTCCTACTGGGTTGCCTCCATCCTTAATACGAGGGTGTGTACCTCGTCTTACTGCATCATGTAATACCATGTTCGGTGGATAACCCTGAGAGGGTCCACCCTTTTTTCAGAAAGGAAGGGAAATGGAGGAACAGTGGAACTGGGTGAGGAGGACTAGGAGAAGGAGAAGAAGGAGAGGCTGCAGTCAGAATGTATTGTGTGAGCGAAGAATGAATAATACAAAAAAGAATGTATATACCAGAACATTCTGTAAAATAAATGTTTTAAGAAAAAAAAAGTGAGCTCTATTTACCTGGTATAGAAAAGTGTAAGAATCGAATATGAATAAAGATGTTAACAATGCCTTTGCTATACAACTGTCTTGGCTTTTCAAAGCAAAAAGCCAAACCAGAACATTTTGTGCTGTGACCACAAATCATTTCCTTCTAACTCCAGCCATGCATCTCAAAACTAAGCGGACCTGCCTGCAATCGGTACTGCGTGGTTAATGCCGCCGGATAGATGAGACCTCTTCTTTGCTGAAGAAACCATTCAGGCAGATTATAGTCAAGGAGCTCTACGCACACTAAGTGTGACAACGAAACAAACTAAATCACAAACTTTCTAAGAATTTCCAGTAGTTAGTAAGTAGGAACACACCTCATCACATCATCAGAAAAGAAAAGCTGTACTTAAACAGTGACACAAACACACACAATCGCCAGTCAACAGCCACTAAAAAATCATGAAATCCTTTCATCTTAACCAGGCAATAGAGGAGTGAATCTTCATGTTGATTTCAAAGTCAGGTTTATTTATCTGAGATTTTTCTTGCTATTATTTACAATTTTTTTTTTCATGGAGGCAAGTGGACAATCATGCAGAGTGAAACCTTGTGAAATGTAGTTTCTATGGTGTTGCTGTGTATAAATGTGACTTATTCAACTAGCTACATGCAAAAAAATCCCCTTTGCTCTTCTTTTTGTTCTCTAATACTGAAAAATGTAAGACATATGCTATCTATCTGTGTATATATATATATATATATATATATATATTTAAAATGAAATTGCAGCATTTAAAGTCAAAGCAAGCAAACTAGGACAGCCAGTTTCCTAAGCTCCAGCATTCTATTTTGCCATAGTTTTAAGATAATTTCCCTCCTTATATACCCTTACTGAGTTTGAGATTATTCAACACATGAAATGCACAATAACTAAAAAGAAGAAACAAATGACATTCCAAAAGCAAGTTTGAGGCTCCATGTCAACAGAAAAGGAGGAATTTTAAGATCTGCGATGGCATGCTACTAGGGGTAGTTACCACACCTCACATTTCTAAAATAGAAGAGTATGTAACTACTACAGAAGGAAGCCAAAGGGGTGCTTCCCTTGCGGCTCATGTCCATGACCTTTAATAAATTTAGCCATCTTAAGGGAGGCTAAGGAAATAGATTTTCCTAAAACTCACCCTGCTTTCCAAAAACTACAAGAGCAGCAAGAAGCTTGGCGGTTAAGCCCTCAAGTAATTATGTGAGACTGAATAACAATCTGAGCATGCACTCTGCTGTTTAAATAATGACAATTAAAAACTCCGAGAGCGCCCAAGTCATTACAGCTGAGATCCACAAAGTTTTTGCAATCAGCTAATCAGAGGGCCCCTGCTCATTTCCTGTTTGACAATCAAAGCAGGAAATATGGAGACCACTCTGAAGAACCAGTGAGTGAATCAACCGTTCCCTTTTCCTCCAGCCTTCCTTGTAAATGTCGGCTTTTGCCACCACGCTTGTCAAGAAAAGAAGACTCTATCTAGTTTGACGCTCTTTTCTAATATCTGGGACCCTTTCATTGCACTATTGAGAGATATTTAAAAGGTAATGCTTTCCTAACTTCCTTTTAAGCAATTACGACATAATGCTACATTAGTAATGTACATCTTCCTTGGTGGGAGTGTGGGGGCAAGCAATCAGGAAACTCAATGGGCAGTTATGTTGTTCTTGTGCTCCATAATGCATCTTTTCATGAACAATAAAAAGAAAGGAGGCTGCATTAGTCATCAGTGCATCCACAGTAGCATGCTTTCTGTTCTGCTTTGTTAATTACAGGATCAGCTTTCAGTAAATCTCAAATAACAAGCTGCATGCGCTCAGCAGGGCAATGGAAAGATGCCTTGCTCTGCACAAAGCGCAGCAACAATGACGTTCTTCTGTCCCATCTCCAAAAAAAAAAAGGGCTCTCATGGAACCAAAGAGAAGAGAGAAACAAAGGGAGCGGGGAGCAAAGGGAACGTTCAGTTTGCTCGCTTGTCCTTAGTGCGTGATAAAGGACGTGCACAGAAACCTCTAAGTGCAAATGTTAACTGCTTTCAGAAGAGGAAAGTGTGATCTGTACTCCTAAAAAATCAAATGATGAAACTGAGAGAAACCCACCATCGAACTTCTCCGGAACGACGCAGGTGTCGTCATAGAATTGCCGGGGGCCCTTTTCAAACATGCAGCCTGTGGGGGGAGAGCGGGACATGGTTATTAATGATAGAATATGAAATTAAACTTCAAAGTATTTGGGGGGGGTGGAGTTGTGAGACAGGGTTTATCTGTGTAACAGTCCTGGCTGTCCTGGAACTCTCTTTGTAGACCAGGCTGGCCTCGAACTCCCTGAGATCCACCTGCCTCCGCCTCCGAAGTGCTGGGATTAAAGGTGTGTGCCACGACCGCCCCACCCACCTAAACTGTTAATCACTAACACAAGAAGATGGTTTGAAAAAGATTCTGCCACGTTCCAGCTGTTTGATATTGGACACATTAGTTTGGCTGTTTGCCTCAGTTTCCCCATCTATCAAATGGGGATGAGAGTAATAGTGCTTTTGTAAGGACTGATGACTTTCGTGCACTCCAATTTAGAAGGGTGCCGTAGCACAGTGATGTGTAACCATCAGAGATTTTTAACTGCTGACCTAAGCATAGACCTTACCAAAATATTGGCAGACCTAGGCTTTATAATGCATTGTTTTGTTTTCTGGTTTGTTTCATTATTCAAGGGACAGCAACATGAATTTCTGGGATTGTCCTTGATTTCTGGTATTGCCCCTGGCGCTCTGAAACTGATTTAGTTTACCCTTTACTTCCTTGTGGAAATACCTTGGGAAGCTAAGCTTCTCACTTCAAAATCCTTTTTATTATACTTTGTGCGTGTGCTGTGCACACATCCCAGCATGGGCCTGAAGGACAGGCTGTGGCGGTGAGCTCTCTCCTTCCGTCATGTGGGTTTGTGCACTGAACGCTGCTGCTGGGCTGGGTAGCAAGCACATTTATTCACTTAGTCATGTGACTCACCAACCCCTTCTCTTCATTAATACCCGAGAGAGTAAGAAAGGGGGTTTTATCAAAGTTTTTGTTTTGTGCTGTACAACACCTCAGCTCACAGAAAAAGTAAAACTGATATCTTTTAATAATCATTTTCTCTCTCTCACGTACTTGACTTCACCTAATTGTCACCTTTAATTATAGGAAGAAATTTTGTACAATTTAAACATAGCTTTATTCATCAAATACAATGTTCTCTATGGTAGGTTTATAATATTAACAACATCAGTGAAAGCAATTACACACATTGGTGCAAAGCTTTTGCTCTCAAGTATTTTAAAATTTATTGTCATCTGCTGTCAGTTAAACATTGATTAATATCATTCATATAAAATCATGAATATTAATCCTAACTGAAAAGGTTGTGTCTAAGGCAATTTTAAAGAACAAACATGTTGTTTAAGTCATAGTTCCAGGAATCCCTCAGTGGAGATAATATCCAGATAAAATCATTTCTTGTCTATTACTTTGCAGATGTCAAAATCTATTAGAGCAGAGAGTTCCACTGTGGCTACCTGAAACAATAACTCCTTCTGTGCACAGCTTATGTGAATCCTTTCTTAACAATTACTTTTCCAAAAGGTACAAAATCCAGGACATTGAAAGGCGAAATCAATCTACCATGTTTTACTACAAAACTGTCTCTTCGGTTTATAAAGTGATAGCTGAATATTCTCCAGGATACATGTCGGCAGAGTGGAGGAAGATGTGTAATCTGTAAGGAGCAATTTCTAGTTTAAAAGTTTGCCAGGTGCTGGCAGGAAAGAACACAGTTATTTGTGTAGAAAAGACTTAGGCTAATAACCAATTACGAGCTACCAGGATATCAAAGACTATCCTTTCATTTTCCAAAGACAGAGTGTGGGGTTTGTTGTTGTTTTGGTGTTTTTGTTATCACTGTTCTTTTATTCCTGTTTGTTTGTTTGTTTCTGGCCTTTCTAGGGACTGAAGCCAAGGCCTTGAGTCTATTGGTCAAGCACTCTGCCACTGATCACTCCCAACCCCAAAGGATAATTTTTAAAATAATGTTTTAGGATCACAAATGCATTTTCCCAAAGCACACAATGAATGAGTAAGTCAATACAAAATTGGAATGGGTGATTATTTTTAATGTTATTATAAGGAATTTTAAAACATGGAGAACTTAACTTCTGTTCTGCTTGGATGAGCCAGGAAGCCTTCTTGCCTCATATAAATGGAGTGGCAGCTAGGCACTTCTGAAAGAAGAAACAAAATTTGTCAAAGAGAGGTAGGTTAGAAGGGCAGGACAGGTGGAAGGTAGAGAGAAATGAACAGAAACATCAAGAATCCGGAGGAGTGAGCCTGTCAGTACACGGGGAACATTTTCAGGGGGCCTCCAAGAACTTATAGCTTAAGTTATCACAGTGAAGCTTGACTCTCTTCAATAAGCAGGTGAACATACTTTTACCAACTCAACTTTACTGAAGCTCAGCAATACCACACTATGTCACACCAGTCTGTTTAAGGGCAAGTAGAATTAATTTATATACCCCACATTATTCTGTCTATGCACACTGAAAAACATCCAAAACTCAGTTATGGATGACTTCACAAATATTAGACAGAAATGACTAAGAAAAGATAGGATAATTAAATCTCGTGAGTTATCTTGAGACTTTTAAGGGTTTTAATTGTTTTTATTAGATAACAGCCTATCTGGCTTTTCATTTTTATTAAGAATATAGATCATGTTCAAAGCTAATAAAGAAATGGTACACAATAAACAGCTTCACAGTGCCTGTGCTAAGAAAAAGCCCCACCTACAGGGCTAAGAGGTCTGGAAGGAAAAACAAGCATGGCTAACCATGAATGCCGACTCGCAGTGCTAACTCAGAACTGAACACGGTCAGCAATTATGACATGGAAAAATAAATAAATATGGCTCAGGAGACATATGATTTAAATTCAAGTCCTTATTACCATGAAAGCTACTTAAGTTTGGACAAACCTTCCTTTACCTGCATTTCTATAAAATAAAGGGTTGAGACATATTCCTTAGCACCTACTACAGTTCTCCAATTCCAAGGTGCTGAGGAGAGACAGATGGATAACAGCCCCCAAAATTAAGGGTCTTCCCATATTTTAGGAGTCTCTTCTGAGCCCTGCCTAATACCTATATTTGTACTTCATTTTTATTTATTTTTCTTAAATCTAGTTCCTCAAAACACAAGTTTCAGATCTCCCAGACTGAGTCCTACCCTTGAATGTATAAACACTTGATCAAGTCAATTAGAACATATGTACGGTTTACTAGTTTGGTTTTTTTTTTTTCCAACATAAAAAAGGAAATCTAAATGTGTACCACAAATACAATACTTAATGCAAAAAAAATTCCCTCCTTTCCACTGCTTGTAATTCAAATATACCATCCTTAAAGAATGAATCTCAAAGCCCAGTCTCTTCAGATCTATCCATCTATACACTCGTTGTAACAATAGATAATCAATACCCTTTATTTGGTCTGGTTTTTCCCTTGGTCTAGAATTTCCCATTTTCAGAGTCAGTATTTTTGTTTGTTCAGTCTGATGACAAGTGATAATTTTTTGGTTTAATGTCAACAAAAATATGAGCAATTATTAACATAAAAATATTTTAACCCACACGGTTTTAATCTAAAACATTTCACCAGTAAGCCATAAATCTAACAACATTTAAAAACTATGTTTTTGGTGGTACACACCATAGTCCCAATATTCAAGAGGCTGAGGAATAAAGACTGTGAATTTGAGACCATTCTGAGTTACACAGAGAGACTCTCTCAAAGCGTAAACAAAACAAAACCAAGCCAAGGAGGCTGGGTATAGAGTTCAGCAGTGGATCCCTGGTATAACATGCACTGGCCCTAAGCACAGTCCCCAGCACCAGAAAAACAAAATCCAATACTTACATGAAATAAAAGTACATGAGACAGCATAGTCTATGTCGTGAGGACAGTGGAAAACTTGCACACACACACACATTTTTCTATAACACAGCTTATACAATGTATTATATAGTGCATAATTCTGAGTCTATGAAGGTAAAGTGATTCTTTTTCTGACAGAATGGACAATAGGCCAAAGAGTTAGCAATCCACTCTTTTCCAACTTTAAACTAATGAGGAACCTTGAAATTAATTTTTAGCGTTATTCTGATTTATTGCCAGGCATAAGGTCCCTGCAAACAGCTGGGCCTGGAAGGGACGGTGTTAATGACTGCAGTCGGAGCAACAGCTGCTCCGAGGCAAGCTCTGTGCTGTACTGATGTTGACACCGCGCCACAAAAATACTCGTACTGACTGCTACACACCTGGAGCACGGCTGTAAGAACAGCTGGCGAGCTCGGAGGCAGCTAGAGGAAAAGACAGAGGCTGAAGTCTATTACATATAAGTGTGACTAAATGTGCTTTCCTTCCCAGAGCAGGAGAAAGAGGAAACACAACTATTTCTGAAGAACCCAGTATGCAAGGCTGAAGGACACTTATGGAGAGTCTTCTAACACGGTGTAAAATTAGCGTCATCCTGGAAATCTAGACACAGCATCAGAGATACTTTATGCACAATTTGTCTAATTCTCCTGCAGCTAGAAAAACAGCTGCTCTTAGACTGTACTGTTCTTCAAAAATTCTAGGTCTATCTAGATATTTAAAATAGATTGCCCTAAAATTTATTTTAAAAAAATCAGTGACACATAATAAGGTTCAGGTAGAATTTTCATTACAGTTTACAAAAGACCAGTGTGTGGTTTTCATTCTTAAGAAGACAATGGGTAACAATTTATAGAGGGCATTGTGCTTTTCCAATTCCTGCCATTATTACATAAGAATAAATAAAATTAGCAACTAGTTTTTAAAGGCAAGGCCTTGGCTATCATTTTTAAATCCAGTCTGCCCTTAAAATTGATGCCATTTATATAGTCCAGAGAAGCCAGAAAAAATTAAATAAAAGAAAAGGGCTAGGAGGTTTATTCACTAGAATAAGTAAAGTCATGTTATTCTAAAGTGATATCAGTTAATTTATGACTATCAGAGTGGGTCAGACTCTAATCAAATTGTAGAAACATTTCCAAAGTGATTATTCAATCAAATGACTAACATGGTTAATTAGGGGCCGTAAACATTGCTCTGAAGTTCATCAAAGTAATGACTTGCCCAGAAAAATTACTGCTAATTAAATTGCCTGCTGCTTTCATTTCTACCTTATCTAATAAAAAAAGTCCAACTGGTGAGATTTGGCATTCCATCTGAACTTTTGTAAATGTTCAATGAAGATCCAAGCTGGGCTAAGTGGGGACTTCAAAGGCCAATGTTTGGTGACAGAGAATGGAGGTGTCGCTGGGCAGGGCCTTCCACTTTCCTGTGGAAGGAAGGACAATGCAAGAGCCACAACCTAGTGTAGCCTGACCTACACAAACACGCCAGGACGGCAGGACATTTACACTGTTCTGTCTGGAACAGCCGACTGTAGCCTGACCTGCGCAAACACGCGAGGACGGAGGGACATTTACACTGTTCTGTCTGGCATCCTCTGGTTATAATTTTAGGATGACCAACACAGCACAGTGATGGCCAGCAACCACTTTGTCACCTACTAGGCACAAATTCAAGTCTAAGGTCTCTTGTTTCAAGGGAGTGTAGTTCTTGGCTGGTTAGTTAACAGATCTTTCCTCAACCTTCTCATCTGTAAAATGAGAGTGCTAGTGATACTTTTAAAAAGTGTTGTAATATTTCCACTAGCAAAGGATTTAGGATATAATTACATATTTCAATAATTTACTTGTATATTTTAATTTCATGTTCTTAAATTCCATGAGTTGGTTGATTTGTTCGTTACTAGTGTAACTATTCTGGAATAGATTCTGTCAATATCTCTTAATCTATGATATCTAAAAATATATTGATTGAACAGTCATGAATTTATGATTAAGCTGGAATTTCCACCACACATTTTAAATACTCAGGAATCCATCTTTGAACGTCATATTTTTGCAATATTAACCCTTGTTGTTTGTTCTTAAACAACACTGGCTTAAGAAGTTTAAAAGTCAGTCTATAAATTGGATTATGTAAATTGAATTTAGGACAAAGGATTTTTATTGATGTAGGAACTTGTGGATCAAAGCATTCTAAAACTCGATATTAGTGCTGACCAAATCAGCTCTTACAAATCACAGCGCCCGTAATTTGTTTCAGATGAGCTCTTGTCGTGATGAAAGCTGATCTAATATGCTGTAAAAATTCAAAGCAGTGAAGTGCTGCTGGCCTCTCCAGGCTTCGGTGCATGGAGGTGGGATCAGGAACAAAGCACCGGAAGTCTCCAAACAGCCCCCTTGGGTTAGGCTTCATGTAGTATCACTATTAAAGGTGTCAGATTTGAAATGATACAGAAAGTATCGCTTCATATCACGATACATGTGTAAGAAACTTAAAAAAAAAAAAGCTGCTTTCTCCCTCTTTGCCTTACAAAGTAAAGCTGTGCTGGAAAACACAATACTGACGTGGGAAGCTTTACCAAAAGTTTTACCACAAAATGCAGCTTTGAATTTTGCACATGTAATATGCCAGGCACTCCTGTGATTTGCATATTTGCTGCTCAGTTGTACAAAATGAAAATTCCCCTTTAGGGTATCATTTGTGTAGGCTTCCAAAGGCCATGCCAGACCCGGAGAGGAAAGATTAGTCATGATTGGCTAGGGCAGTTTTAGTGGTTGCTGAAACTGCCTTGTTACCAAGCAGTGTGCAAAGCTGGGATTATCTCATATAACAAACCAACAAGGAGGTTGGGAAGGGAGTCTCCTTCATTTGATGATTCTGGCTGGATTCCTGCAGTAATAATCAATGTACATCTTAATCCAGCTTCCTAATGTCTTAAGGTAAATGAGAAATCCCAGGAAAGTAAAAGTAGCTCACGACTCTGTCTTTGCTTTCCTTTAAATTAGAACGCAGAAGTTGACTGGCTGTACACTATAACTCCTTGTGGGAGTGATGTGACTGCATAGAGTCCATATGGAACTATTCACTCATTCATTCACTTTTCAGATGGGGTCTCACTCTCTCTTCCTGAATGACTCTACCAAGTACTGGGATCACAAGCATGAACCACCATGCTAAGCTCTGTTCAAAACATTCAGATAATGGAAGAAAATGTAAAATGTTAACTATATAGAATCAAAAATGATGTATTCTGTAAAACAATGCAAATCTATAAAAGGTGTAGGG